AAAAAACATTTCAAACGTTGACTAATATGACAACTCATTAAGTACTTGCGGTTTTTGAAATTCGGAAACTGCACATGCGCAAAATACAATTTTTGCTATATTTGATAAGCTACGTAGATCACCCGCTGTATATCCTACGGAATCACGCAGCGTTATACATGGCAGCGATATAGCATCACGGTGTTTGCCTCCATCGCATTAAAGTGTGTAATTGCACGGCAAAATGGTAGCGGAGCCCGCGTGTTCTCCTTCGTCCTCGCAGCGAGCGCCTGTAACACAGCACACAAGACGGCCCCCCGCGAGGCAGCAGGGCGCACCGCACCCGGGATGACAACACAGCCAAACGTGTGGCCGCATCTGCAGTTTGTCAGGCAGGAGGTGAAGGCTGGCAGGGAGGGGTTGCTGGGCCTCGCCACCGCCGCCTCAGGCTGGGAACAAAAGCCGGCAATACTGCACGATGTTTAAAAGCAAGTCAGTGGCCTACGAGGACTGATTGAATGTGCTTGTTTTCCTAATGCGTTATCGTGTCTTGAAGGCTTGCTATCATAATGTTTAAGGAAAACGGCGGAAGTATAAAAGCAAAAAGTGGGAGAAGCGATAACATCCTAAACACGCGATGAGGAGATGAGGAAGGGCAGTAAAGCGAGTGTATGGATTCCCCTTACGACCCGCCGGCAGCATGGGAGCCTCGCAGCGGCCGAGGACGACGTGTGTAGCGCGGGTGATGATGATGAGGGAGATGCAGAAGAAAAAAATAAAACAGTGTCGGAATCGCTCTGAGAATTCCAGGATGTAGATGTTCTCCTCCCCTCCCCCTCCCCCCTCCCCCGAGTGACTCTAAGAGACCAGAAGTTTCTGCAGGACCGGAAATGATTCCAGGGTATCCAAAGTTTCCTCCGTGACGGTAAATAGACAAGAAACCAAGACTTTCTCGTGCCCCTCCGAGAAAACCAGGGCCTGCGACGCTGCTCACAGATTGATTGTTGCCTCAAATTAGAATGACTTCGTAGGATGGGGGGGAGAGGATCCACACGGGATAGAGAAAGAGGGGCGGGGGTGGGGGAGATGGGGGGCACAAAGGATAATCAGGGCAGCAACATGATTCGAATTGCACTCTGAAATCCCCTCACCATGAGAAATTCGAAGGTCAGAATGAGGCAGTTAAGGAGGTGGGCAGAACAACGACGCTGGCCACACGTTAGCATAAGAAGTAAGAAAAATAAACAGCATCAGCACAACACTGGTGAGGGTCTTAATTAATAGGATAATAGCGGCTAATTCCAGTGATTTATTTAGGTATTCATCTGCTTATCGTACTTTCAATGACTGTATTATTCGGAGAAGAATCAGTGCCTTTATTGTCACAAAATATCATCTATTTGAAGTAACTTTCCTGTGTATGTTCCTCTGGTTGCGTGACAGTGTCCATTCGCGCATTTATTAGACCGGGTGTGCATCTATACATGCATGTGGTCGATTCACGTGCGTTGCGAAGTTAAAAGAAACCAAACTCAGTGTCGACAAGTTAATATTCCCGGGCCTTCGTACACAACCTCGAGGTGTCGACCCACGACAGCAGGTGCGGCGGGACAGCCCTTCATGTCATGAGTAATTACGTGTAACTTAAACGTGGCAGGAAATGTCTTCTGTCTCTAGGGTAAACATCTCGAACAGACACTAAACACTGACTTAGCGACTCTCGAAAAAAGCGAGATTTATATAAGAGATCTCATTAAATGACAGAAAACAAATATTCGGCGAAGAGAGAGAAAGACAGCGGAAAATTAGAGGGGGTGATATGGAGAAAGGAAGAAGTGACGTAATGCTAGGAAATGGCTCCCCCGCCCTGCTCCCCCCACTTACCCTCGGCTACAGATCAGACGTTGTTGTAAATCTTGCCAAATCTCCCCAAATCCTCATGAGAAGCACATACGGCGTAATATCACAATCGCAACAGAGGTTACAAGCAGTTAGCATGGAACCAAAACATCGCCCTTAGTGACGGCGTGGCGCAACTGTGTCATGCCGCAAGCAGCGTTATAAAACACAATGTATTTATTTACAGAATTTACACAACGAAATTAAATTCTGCAGGAAATTTGCATGTTTATTGCAATTTTGGTTAAGGCACTGCATAAGGCATACGGCATCTTCGCCATGTTTGTAGAGCGACTTGTACGATGAGAGGAGAGTAAGGAAATGAACAGAATAAAAGAAAAAGAAAACTTAACATTTAGTAAACATCTAACAGCAATGGCACATACACATATGTGCCGTCATGTTGTGAATATGAGTATCAAACTTACCTAAAGTAACGTCAATTTCAAAACAAGATATTTCACAAACCAAACTTGTGTCTTAGTGTTTCTAAATACCGAATGAGCATTTCTCCGCCATTTAAACACCGCAACACGCGTGAAAGTGCTTTACGTCTGAGGCCTAAAGTATGAGACTTGGGTCGAGAGCACGATCATGTCCCAGTTTTGGCCGATCTGAACTCGATATAAACGGCCTTGACCTCCTCTGTTTGCTGCTTCGATCGAAAATTCGTCTTCTGAACCGATTATGTCTCGCAGGCTGTTAAAAAAGTCTGAATGATGGTCCGTAGGTATTACAGAAATCCTTTGAGATATTTCGTATCATCAAGAGCCTGTATGGTATGCCTTCGAAGTGCGTCGCTCGGTTTTAAGCTTCTGAGCTCTTTCCACATATTTTGGTTCATAGTTCGTTCTAGATATTTTAGACATTTTTTCTCTTATGTTTCATAAGTCATCGATACAAACACACACACACACACACACACACACACACACACACACACACGCACGCACACACACACACAAACACACACACACACACAATCACACACACACACACACAAAATACATACACACACACACATACGCGCGCTTGCATTAGCATGTACAATTTATTTTTGTGGTACCGATATTCAGTATTTCTTGTAAGTGTAAGAATCATCCATACTACCACGTACCATTCCACTGACTAAAAGACATTTACTTTCGCAGCATATGTAAGGCCTTCAAAATGATTTTTACAAATATTGGCTCCTCTGAACACTTGTCACCTTTAATTTGTCAATATATCATGTCACACATACTTTCGATATGTGGGAGAGTACGAAATCTTCCTATGAATATCATAGCTTTGTGGATTTTATAGACTTCTTTTCCAAGTTCAACAAAGAAGAAAGTCAGACGAGGGTATAAGTCTCTAAAGTATTTTACAAACTCCTTCGCGTCACATTCATAGTTCACTTTTGAAACTCCGGCTACTTCTTGTACGCAGCGAGATCGTTTGCATCCATCTTTACGAATCCAAGTCCTTCTCGCGTCCCGCTGGAGTGTGCTCGGGAGGCCGGGCAGCGACTCGAGTTCGGCGGAGGAGTTTCATGTTTCAACCTTCACGAACGCCTCCGTATAACTGCTTCGGCTCTCGCGCGATCGCAGCTGGCGAACATCTTGCCGAAATTGCAGAATTACTCCCGTGCATCTTACAAGTAAGGATGACTCTTCTCCCGCAATATTTATCGGATTCATGGCTTGCTAAAACACATTTTTCGCGGAAGGAGGGAATTTTGTGGCGAGGAAACCTAATTTGGATTTATGAGTGGAATGTGGCGCAGACGGCGTTGTGGCGTCGACGAAGGAACGGCGCGGGTGGAAACCTTTTGGCCTTCGCCCCGAACGCGGCATTTTACGGCGGACGCTTGAGTGTGACCCGAGCTGGCGGTGGGGAGGAGGGCCACACGGCTCAGAGACGAAGGGGAAGAGGTCGTCACAACGGACAAGGCACGTCATAATAAAGGACCGTTTCATAAAACAATGTGCGAGGTGACTGTCCGGCGGCGGGAAAGAAACCACCATGCACACAGCACTGCAGCGGAAATGTAATGATGGCCAAGGTACTTGAGGCCGCGGGAAGACGTCGTTATGGTGAAAAGCTCTAGTAATTAAGATGCACTGTGACTATGGTATATGCTGTTAGGATGGATAGTGTCCGCTGTGGTGTACTATTACCGTATTCGGGAAAGCGGACAATAAAAGTATACAGATCGTACAATAAACCATAACACAAAACATAAAAGAACTTCAATGCCTCAGTAATGAAAATGGAAAGGGATACGACAGAAAAAAAAACATACAGCGGGAAAATATGGTAATGCTAGCAAAAATAAAAATAACGTCGAGACAAGATGACTCACAGGAAGAACAAATTGAAAACTGCAAGAATTTCTCGACTAACGAACACTCGTAATATAAATAAACACAAGAACTACCGGTGCACATTGTAGATAAGACAGGAGCATAATTACTGTTAGGAATGATTAAAAAAAAGAAACGGATAATAGACGGTATAGGAGAATCCTGGAACAAGGATAATGCAGGTGGTTGAATAATGTAAGAGAATAAATAACGCAAGAGCGAGATAACATACGATGATAATTCACGATCAGGCCCAGAGAAGGAGCAAACATTAATTCGGAAGAAAATAAAAGTCAAAACCGAGAATAACGCCGAGGGGAAAGGGGGAGCGAAAGGATAAGGAACACAGGGGCAAGGAAATAAGCTTGGATAAAGTCGGGGCAATCGGGATGCGGGATAATGCCAACGCCTTATGGACTTTTAAAGCATCGGAAATCTTTTCTCGCGCGCCACAGTCCGGTAAAGGATGGAGCATTTACTTTTTTTTTCTTTTTTTCTGAGGAGTATGAACCCAAAGGTATTATTTATGAAGTCTTGTTGGTGGTGGTCACTAGGAAAAAATTTTCTTCAGCATGTTTTCACTATATCAGTTAGTCATTTGACTGAATTTTTTTGTTTACATCTCAGAAACTGTGCATCAAATGCTTTAAAATGCATGCAAAGTGACTGCAGTCACAGATGTGGAGATCCCCAACTGCCGCCAAGCACTTAAAACCCACAAGAAACGGTTGTGCCATCAGTCACACAAGACCGCACACTGAATCACCGCATCAC